TTCTCTTAACATTTGAACATAACGAAAAATATTTATGTTCAAAATAAAGAATTTATATCATATAAATATGACTATAACATTTAAACTTATTTGGAATTATTTTTCATTTAACTTTATTTTTTTTAAATCACCAATAGCTAGATAGTATAAGTCATCCACACTTAACATGAATATAGCCATAGTCTTTCAAATTATGTTTAAAAATTCTTTTCTGGTTGGTCAAATTGTCTACACTTTTCTGCAATTTGTTTCTTTTCTAGTTTTCTTTTTTCTTTTTTTTTCCTTTTTGTCTTTTTCCGTGTCCGGCAACGGATTGCAACCCTCAGTGTCGCCCCCGTACCGGACTAGGACCGGCAACGGGATCGCAACCCTTGGTGTTGCTCCCGCACCTCGCTCAGGTCTGTATGTGGGATCCGAACCCTTGGAGGGAGCGCCGCCGCGCTTCCCAAGCGGCGCACTACAGCAGTGCACCACCGGGCCGGCCTAGTTTTCTTTTTTTAAAATCTTCCAAGCCAGACATTTTCTTGGGAGCCATATTAAAAGATTTTACATTTAGATAATGTGAGAAAATACACTACAGTAAACAGCAATATACTGTACAATATTCAGTTTCAGAATTTTAGCTGAAGGAGACAGCTAATTTCAGGAGACTGTTGCTGAATTATGTCAGGGCTGGTAATGCTGCCTGTAATTTTATGTTGCAAAAATATCATCAGATAGGCTGGTGCCTGGGAGGAGTGATTTTTAAATGTCTTTTGAAAGATACCGTCTATTTCAGTAGCCAATTGACATTTTGCAGTTAGGTATGGTATCTCATGAGCAAAACTGAGATAACAGGACCATATTTCTGACCATTTCAGCAATGTTTTGTGTTCCTTATAGAGGGGCACCCTTGCCAGCCATTTTGTCTGACTCCAGTCATGGTAGGAATGGATTGGGCTGAGAGATCTGAGTGTGAATTTATGGGCACTCAGTTTAGTGGGCAAAACCCGTAACTTCTCTGATCTTCAGTCTCAGAGGGTGAGCCTGTTTGGCCCACTAAGATCTGGAATTATTATTATTATTATTATTATTATTTTCCTTTTTGTCGTTTTTCGTGTCCAGCAATGGATCGCAACCCTCAGTGTCGCGCCCGTACCGGACCGGGACCGGCAACGGGATCGCAACCCACGGTGCTGTGCCCGCCCCTCGCTCAGCCAGTGAGCGGGAACCGGTCTGTATGTGGGACCTGAACCCTCGGCGGGAGCGCCGCTGCGCTCCCAAGCAGCGCACTGTAGCAGTGCGCCACCGGGCCGGCCCTAGTATTATAATTTAAAAGTGTACTTTGTAATAAACTGTATAGTAAAACACTATATAAATAATAATTAACAAGAAATTACTCTTTTTCCATCAATCCTTATTAACATATTGCTGCTTTGAAGAGTTAGTCCTAGAGTCCAAGGGGATTATAAAAGGCTGATTTCTAAGACCAGCAAATGTTCAGCACCCAGTACATGGTATATATTGTGACATATTCTGTGGGGGACGTGTCCTGTGCAGGAAGTGGCTCCCAGCATAGACTCTGGAGTCAGACCTGGGTGGCACCGCACTGACTTTGCCCTTCTGCCATCTCAGAAAAATTGCTTAGTCACAAATATGTGTCTTATAAGGCTGTGCCACCACCCTCTGCACTCCAAACTCTAGTCATATGGAACTATCTGCCGTTCCCAAAAGCATCAGAATCATTTCTTTGCTTAGCCCCTTGTTCCTGCTGCAGGACGGTTCTCCCTCTTCCCACTTTCTGCTAGGCTAACTCCTATTCTTCTCAGCTTCCTCCATAGTTTTTAGAATGCACCAGGCACAGAGCTTGGTGCTTTATATATATTCTCTCACTGGAGTCCCTTAACTATCCTATGAAACAGGTATTAGTACAGATGAGGAAACAGAAGCTCAGAGAGGGTAAACAATTTGCCGAAGGTCATACAAATGATTTAAACCCAGGCCTGTCTGACACCAAACCCTTTGTAGTCAATTGTAATTTTCTAACGGCTTACAGAGCTGAATACAGTGAAGGCAACGTAGTAAGCAACAAATAATAGCTATTATTATTTTGACCCATCTAGATTGCAAGCCTCTGCAAAAAAAGAATCTTAAGACCCATAGATGCTTGCCACATACCCTGAGGCTGAGCTGATTCCTGGAAACCAGAGTATAACCTTCTTGAGAGCAAGGGGCCTGCATATGGCTTCTGAAATACCACCACTGGTTGCTTCTCAATAAATGACTGATGTGTTTTCTGTCACACAATCTCTGAATTTCAGAATGTTCCATTTGTTTCACACCTTGGCCCCTTTCCACTTCTGTGTGAGGAGAGGGTGGGGCTATAGAGGGGGCCCAAGAATACAGTAGAAGCTGCTTTTTGATGAGACACCGGAACCACCAGCCATCTAAATAAACGTCCTCTTTATTTTACCAAATATAATTTATCAGTTAACTTGACATTTGTCAATTCAGTTATAGTAACTATAAATAATTCTCTTAAGACACAGTTCTGTAACTTTTTAAGGATACAAGAGTAAACCGATATTACTCCTTGCAGCCAGGCCAAAAGTACATGCAGTTGGTGCAATCAGGGAAAAAGAAATGAATCTTCCATGAAAGTCAACTCCATTTTCTTTCCCTCTCACCCCACGGTCCTCCTCTGCTCACACACTCAGGGCCTGGGGCTTTTTAGGCAAAGGAGGACACTCCAGAGTCTTCCAGGACAGCCTGGTCAAACTCCAGAGATGAGGAAGGGGTGAATGACTGGGCAAGGGAGACTGGAGATCACAGGGGCACAGCCTCAGGGGCAGAGTTGTTTTTGGTGCCTGTGCAAGAAGGGTCTGCGTGCAAGTGTGTTTTGAGGTGGTGGAAAAGATGACAGGCCAGAGGGAAAAGCAGAAACAAGCCCTGGCTTGTGTTAATGGACTCTGTTGGACATAGCTCCAACTAGATAACTTCTATGATTCCTTCCAATTCTAAAGTTCTATGATTCCAGAAGGTGGCCTGGGTGGGATGCAGGGAGAGAAAAGACAGTCTCTGGAGATCCAGGGCAAGTTCCTGGGACAAGGCATGGTGGTGGTAGAAACAGGGTCATTGCCCAAGCCTTCCCTTGGAAGAGGGCCCTTTAGGCTACAGAGAGGAGGGTTTATGGGGAGGCTTCTGACAGAGAGGCTAGAAAAAGCCTGCATCCAAATGCCCAGATGTGTGAGTGTGGACAGATTTCTGAGCTGCTCAGAGCAATGTGTGGGCAAGAAGCAGAGGCTCCAGTTTACTTCCAGTTTTGTGCTAGGTGGAGAAAAGTAGAAGTAGCCAGGTGATGTCCAGCCTGTTAGTTCTAAATCCTCTTTTGGGTGCCTGTGACAATGTGAGGACAGGTGGAGGGAAGGGAAGGGAAGGTGAGGAAGGGTAGCTCAGGAAAAAGAGCCCTGTTTGAGCAATGGGGCTGGCAGCTGTGTCAGCACTACACAGAGTTGGGATCCAGGAGGGAGAAAGGGGCAGAACCTGGTGTGGTGAAGTAGAGCTCAGGAAAAAGAGCCCTGTTTGAGCAATGGGGCTGGCAGCTGTGTCAGCACTACACAGAGCTGGGATCCAGGAGGGAGAAAGGGGCAGAACCTGGTGTGGTGAAGTAGTTGCAAATACTTACAAGGGAAATTTCTCTGCCAGACTGAAAGGGGCACATGGCTTTTGTAACCTGGGGAATGAAGTGAAGTTAGAGCTGTGTTTTCCTTACCACTGGCTAAGTCAGTGCCTGGCACTGTACCTAACACATAGTAGGCACTCAATTAATATTGTTCAATGAATGTTTCAGACCATGGCTGCAGAAGAGCTCATCCTGGGGAGGCTGCATTTTTGTCAAGTGAATGAATGAACGAATGAATAAAAAATGTTTGTGGACAGAAGCCCAGAGAGAGGAAAGCTGACCTCTATGGCATGACAGAATGAGTGATTATAGGAAGTAACAGAGTCCAAGGCGACTGTGTGATTATGTCCTCAGGAGAAATGGCAGCAATGAAATACCCCCGGTTGCCCTAAACCTACAAATCATTCTCTACATACCCATGCTCGATCCCTAATCTTGGAACCCAACCTGGCAAGCTCTGGGGAAGGTAGTGCTTATAGAGACAATTAGAGATGAAGGTTGAACGGACACAAAGAATCAATCAGTCCTCTGGGCCCAGGGAGGATATGGATCTTAGGAAACCTACGGATGGATGTGAGTCAACAGGGAGACTAGGCTACTGCTCATTTCTTCCTGAATGTGACAATCAACTGGAAAACAATCAGAGGGAGGGGTTGGTGACGCTGATCAGACAACTGGGTAAGAGGCATGCGCCAAATTAAACCATCAGTCCACCTTACACTTTCTGAGAGCTGGAGGGCCCAAGTCTAGAGGGCAGAGAGTAGGGCTGGGATTATAGGGGGCCTAGAGCAGCTGTCTCCTGCCCAGTGCTTTGAAGTTGGTCCATTTCTACAAAAGTATGTGTGTGGGGGGGGAGTGTTATTTATCCCTCTGTTCAACAAAAAGAAAAAAAAAAACTGTCTCCTGCCCAGTGCTTTGAAGTTGGTCCATTTCTACAAAAGTATGTGTGTGGGGGGGGGAGTGTTATTTATCCCTCTGTTCAACAAAAAGAAAAAAAAATAAGAAAAATAAAAGAAAAAAACCCCTAAAATCAGAGCCCATTCACAAAGGGTTTCTCATCAGGGCCAAGAATGAGGTTGCTAAAGCCAAAACAAATGTCCCCAGATCCTAGACAGGAACCCCCTGCTACAATCCACCTCACCTGGAGGCACCCACCATGAAATTGCACTTGGTGATTGTCTCAAAAATCTACTTGTACTGCTTATCACAGTCCATCTGTCCTTCCTGAATTCTTGCTATACAAACTTGGCTCAATGTATAAAAATTCCCATTGAAAATAATGAGAATTTGGTATCAAAGAGAAGTCCTAGAAATAGGTGGGAGTGTGGGGAGGGGCAGGGATGGGGAACAAAAGAAAAAATTCAAATAGAAAGTGCAGAGGGATGGGGAAAAGGTTGAGCAACCAAGCTAGTCCCCGACATCCGTGTCTCGGTCCCCAATGAGCCAGAGGACATGGAAGCTGAGTGCTAGGAGCCCAGTGCCAAGCAGGTCCCCCAGAGCAGTCAAGTATGGGATGGAGAAGTTGTCTGGGTCCAGGCCCCGGCCCCACATCCAGTGCACCATCCAGTCTGCGATGTACAGGAGAATCAGCACCTGGAGAGACAGAAGGCCCAGCCTGTAGCCATCCCCTCTCACACCCAGGGGGAGCCAGAGGCCACACGATCACACCCATCCAGTACATCCCTTGGCTAGCCATAATCCTTATGCTGGGACAGCTCATCTTCCCACCCCAGCAACTTCTCTCTCCGTTCCTCCAGCCCACAATTACTGCACTCAGCAGACAACAGGCATAATGAGAACTCTTTAGAAAGGAAGATGCTACTACTACCCGAGGTCACTCACATCAGCATTACATTCTGCTCCCAAATTTATCTAACAAGGGCTTTATAATCTAAATTCTACTTGTTGCAGGAATTCTTGTCTCTAAGTCTGGGTCACCCCATTTTTGGATCACTTCATTTCCTGCCATGTTGGCTTCTCCAGGCAGCTGGCAGTTGGAGTCGGCTTTTCCTACAGGGATTTCTTCTCTAGGCAGAGTGGTATAATGGCAGTGTTTGAGGCTTCTGCCAGCATGGCTTCCTGAATAACTTTTGATTATCCCAAGGTGGCTTTCTCCTGACCCTTTCCATTCTCCTATTGTGGGCTAAAAGAATGTAAGTTTATTTTAACATTAGTCCTGGCGAAACAGAATTGTGAATAAGTCAGCTAAATATAAAGCAGAAAATGCATACCAATTCAAAACACATTTTGGATTATCTGCTGCTTTGATTTATCTGTGCCCTTGCTTATCTTCTATTACTGGAGATAATTAAGAATAATCTAGATTAGAATCTTGCTAGTGGGCCCCAGACTAGTAGCATAACAACAGCTGGGAGCTTATTAAAGCAGGGTGCAGACAGTGTGTACAATACGTCATATATGTGTAAAAATGGAGGAAACTAAGAAAAATATACATGATAGCCAGTATAAATACAGAATAAGCTTGAAGGTCACACAAGAAACAGATAACAACGATAGCCTGTGAAGGAGAGAACTGGATGGCTGGAAAGAGGGCAGAAAAGAAGACTTTTCACGGAGGTTTCACTATGAAACCTTACAAAATTTTGAACTATGTGACTGTTACTATCTATTCAAAAAACAAATCCATACAAATTTGAAATGTAATAATGAGGGTGGGTGTGGCTGTAAAGGGGTAGCTAAGGGAGCCTAGTGGTGATGAAACAGTTCTTTTTGTATCTTATTGTGGTGGTGGTCACATGAATCTACACTTGCAATGAAACTGCTCAGAGCTGGGGGCTGTCTGGGTAGCTCACATGGCTAGAGTGCAGTGTGGTACATCAAGGTCAAGGGTTCATATGCCCATACCGGTCACCCACCACAAAACAAAAAAAAAAAGGAAAGAAATTGTATAGAGCTAAACACACACACACACACACAACACACGCACACATTAGTGCATGTAAAACTGGTGCAATCCAAATAAGCACTATGGGTTGTACCAATGCTAATTTCCTGGTTTTGATATTGTACTATAGTTATGCAAGATGTTACCATTGGGGGAAACTGAGTGAAGAGTATATGGGATCTCTGTGTATGTTTTTTTTTTGAGCTTCCTGTGAATTTATAACTATCTCAAAATTAAAAAATGTAATAATACAATAAGGGAGAAAGTGCCATAGTATTACAGAATATCAAGGCTGAACGGGATCCGACGGATTGACTATCTAGCGCAGTGGTTTTGACACTTTTTCAAGCTGTGGAACCCTTTATTCAAATGTAACTTTTTTGTTTGTTTGTTTGGCATCTGGCTAGTATGGGGATCTGAACCCTTGACCTTGGTGTTATAACACTGTGCTCTAACCAGCTAAGCTATTTGGCCAGCCCCAAATATAATTTCTTGAGGAAGCCCAGCATGCAAAACAGAGCCAAGTGGAACTCTGTGGCCAGGCCAGTGGGGGTGACAACCAAAGCTCAAGGCTCAGCACCCTACAACCACCTGTTTGAAAACCACCACCTCTGGTCCATTCCCCTCAATTTACAAATTTGTCACTGAGGCTCAGGGAAGTGGAACAACTGGGCTGAAGTCACACAGCTGTTAGTGATTCTGTTGGAACTACAGTCTGTTCTCCTGAGCCCCTGTCCAGTGTTTATCAGACACAGAGAAAGAGGCAACAGAGTGTCCGATGGGCCAAGCCTGGGTCTCCTCTCCCATCCTCGCAGGGCAGCCCAGCCCCTCCCCTGCCCCCTGCACCTGCCAGTCTGTACCTGGAGCAGTGCAGCTGTCATGTAGAAGATGATGAAGATGAGTGTGAGGGTGGTGTGCCCGCCCTGCATACAGCTGATGGTGTAGAGGAATACCAGGTGTCCTGGGACCACAAGGAGGAAGAGGACCCGGGCCGAGCGAGAATTCACATCTGGGACAAGTGGAGAGAGGGCATGAGGAGTCTTGGCCCCAGAAGGCCTTTCAAAGTCAAAAGGGACCACACCACACTTCAGGGCAGCAGACAGCTGATTGTCTCTATCTCTCCTTCCCATGGTTCCCAGCCCCAAGGGTGTCCCAGGAGAAGACAACCTTCCTGCCTGGGCTCTGCCCTCGAGAACAGCTGGCACAGGCCAGCAGAGAAGGAGAAGCTGTGGATCTAGGCCTTAGCTGTTTCTTGAGTGAAGTTTGCTGATTGTAGGCCCCCTCCCTCCAGGGCTGGAATGGGCCTGGGAGGCTGAGAATCTGCCATTACCAGGACTGAAGAAGGTGGTACAAGGACTGGGACAGCGGCGAGGAGCTTGCTCAGAGTTCTCCCCTGGCATCCCGTTCATGTGGAGGAAGGTGGAGATGCGGCTGGCCTGCACTGCCACCAGATTGCCCCCAACACCTGCAGAGACACATAAGGGCTGAGACACAGGGTAGCAGGGGAAGACTGGGAAGGAAATCTTGTTCTTTATTTTTCGTCTATAGAGGTATTGTTCTCTGTCTCCTTTTAGGGCCTGCATGGGCACTATCCATTCACTATCCCAAGAGAAGAGTGAGACACTAAGACCAAACACCCCTGCTTGCAGAATCTTCCAGGCTCCTCCATCCTCCCCGCTATGGAGATGTGACAGTCCCATGTGCCCCTGGTGTTGCTGTGATATTGCTGGAAAGGACACAGGCAGATGTGCAGACTCAGAGTCTGACCTCCCCAGCAGCACAGCATGTGTATGGCCTTCCTGCACAGTCAACGGGATGAGGCTCTGCCTGCCTCACCCCCTCGCCAATGCTCTAAGCAGACCCAGGCACCCGATGCTCATGCACTGGTTCCAGTAACCAGTTTCAAGCATGAGGGTTGACCCTCAAACTCTGGAATCTGGTGCCTCTCCCGGGAACTGTGGCTACTCTGCCCTCCCACCCTGACCTAGTCTCTGCTCTTCTAAGCCTTGTCCTGAGCCTGGGAGGCTGACTTCCACAGACTACATCTCCCAGCCTCTCCTGCTGGCTGCTTCTGCTTGGGTTTGTTCAATGGGAGGCACCAGATCAGAGGGGGGTGGAGAGAGAGATCAGGTATTTCTTTCCTGATCCCTCCTGCTTTTTGGCAGTTGCTTACCCCTGTTGGGGAAAGAGGAGGAACTCTCACTGGGCTCCCATAATGCTCTTTCCTCCCCTTGACCATTCAGGACTAGAGTGTTCCCATGGTTGCTAATGTCTGGGTGCCTCAACATCCCTTGTTGGTCCTTTTACCCTGCTCCCACTTCCATGAGCAGTCCCTTCGTTAAAGTCTTGAACTATGTGAGCTGGATTCTCTTGCTGCTGGAACCCTGACTGATGATACAGAAACCAGCCCCCTAAGGCCTCTTACCCTGCCCTTCTCCTTACCCCCCAGCAGCTGATGCCAAGACCTCACCATTAATCACAGGAGTGAAGACAGCCATCCCTGCAAAGTTGGGGTCTGAGACAGTCTTGTCCAAGATGAGGCCCCCCACACTGCAGAGACACAAGATAAAATGACACAAAGAACACTAGAGGGTTCTGCTCTGGTCTCTGGATGAGAGGCACAGGCCCTCCTAGCCTCAGGGATGAAGGGAAACACAGTGGCTCCCAGGACTCCGTTGCCTCCCTTGCCAGAACCAGTTGCTTGCTGCTCACGGCATTCTGACAGGCACAGTGCCCCCAAACAGGCTGGTGGCACCCTCCAAGTTGGCTAGAGGATTACCTGCCTGAGAGGACCTCTGTTGTTCTGCTTGTTCAGCATTTATGACCCTTTCTGATAACAGAACTGGGCTTTTCCTCAGGGAACCACCTCTCTCAATCTCAGTCACTGTGGTTTAGGTGACATTGCTTCAATGAGGGTGAGGCTCCAGGACCATCCAATCAGAGTCAGTTGGCTAGAGGATTACCTGCCTGAGAGGACCTCTGTTGTTCTGCTTGTTCAGCATTTATGTCCCTTTCTGATAACAGAACTGGGCTTTTCCTCAGGGAACCACCTCTCTCAATCTCAGTCACTGTGGTTTAGGTGACATTGCTTCAATGAGGGCGAGGCTCCAGGACCATCCAATCAGAGTCCCACATCCCCAAGGCCATAGTGATTGGTTTAGGGATAGTCACGTGACAGGATGAGACACATCTCCAAGGCCATAGTGATTGGCTCAGGGATCATCATGTGACTAGATGAGAGCCAGTGAAACTCTATTCTGGGACTTTGTGGAACTGTTAGGGGAAAGAATCTTTCTCTTCCCACTGGAATTTGCAGGAGTAAGAAAATCATAAACCTGGACTGCAGGCCATCACAGAGAAAAGCCAAGCCGAGAGATGGAGAACACTGAGGCCCTAATATTATGTATGCCCCTGAATCCACCTGTGTCTTTTTAGTTCCCTAGGCCAATACATTCTACTTTGGAATGAAACTCAATTCAGATGGTTTCTGTCACTTGCAACAGACGGACATACGATTGATACACCACTGAATGCATTTCTTGGGTGTGTCCCATACCCTCTCTCTCAAGGGTTTAAAAGAGTATATGGCAGGGTGGGAGTGGGGTGGGAGTGTGTACTCAGGGCCCGAGCCTACCTGCTGATGGCCATGGCAATGATGACAGGCTCCCAGCCCGAGTACAACACCTCCCTTGTGGCTGGGCTCCGTCGGGCCAGCACTACCCAGACAGGCAAAAGGGCAACGAAGAAGGCACACACCAGGGGGTATATGTATTGCCAGTGATCTGAGAGGGCAGAGATCAGAGTGAGATGAGCTCTGTGGCTCCCTGCTCCCCCTGCCTCAGCCTGCAAATGTCCCAACAGATTGACAGCAATACTACACTAAATGCCTGCAAACATGCTACCTCATTTGATCTTCACTGTAAGCCCAGGGGGTAGGTGGGGCCAGCCTCTTCCATTTTGTAGATGAGGAAGCCAAGGTAGAAAGCTACCCAGGCACTATACTGATCAGGGGCAGGGATCACAGTCTAGGTCTCTTGATTTGGTCCCAGAAATCACTATCTCCCATCCCCTTCTTCATTCTGTAAGCACATTCCAGCCTTCGGTTCCTTTCCTTTACCTTTTCCACCTCACCCCTCCAAGGGAAGCAAGAATCTGCAGGATCAAGCAGGAATATATTTCTGATACTTTCCTCTCTGCCTCTGCTGCCTGCATGAAGTTGAGATCAGTACTTAGTCTCACTTCTCTTAAGATCTGGAGTTCTGACAAACTGTGTTCAAATCAAATGGTTAAGAACACAGAAGAAATCCTTGCATATTCGCAAAACTACTACTATCTTTCCCAATCCCACCCAGAAGTCCACCCGAGCCACACTCTTGGTGGCCTCAGTCTCACTCAGTTCCAGGTAGAGTCCCCAGCTGATGCCTGAGAGCAACGCCAAGGTGATGAGGTCGCCCAGGCTGGCGGCAATGGGTGTGGCCACGTTGTCTGGGTTGATTCCAACCTTGCGAGAACCAATGATGACTCCAATCATGATCATACCTGGTGAGGAAGGGGAGGGGGGCCAGGCAGGGTGAGAAGAGATAAAGGGGTGTCAACAAACAAAAAGAGAGGCTGTGCCAAGCACAGTTGACACCTCTGAGGCAGCCGTCCTTACTCCTCTGCGACCCCTGTCCCTCCTTACCCAATACCAGGGAGGCAATGAAAGCTGTGGCCACGCTGCTGGCACAGAGCAGGAAGGCATGCGGGATACTGAAGTGGCCATCAGGGATCCAGCCAAAGATGACGGCTGCGATGGACGCCAGGAAGCCCACCACTGTGGCCTGTACCTGAGGAGGGAGTGGTGACTTGGAGAGACCCAGGAGCAGGGAACTTCTTAGCTGAGATCACTGAACACTTAGGCAGACCTCTTCCTGGCCCTCAGCAGTCCCAGGAGGCAGGCTGCCCTGGATTGTCCAGTCCTCCCAGCTGAAAAAATGTCTTTCTTTCTTTCTTTAGTTTCACACTAGACACTAATACTGGGAAGTGTACCCTGCAGGAGCCCAGGACATGTTAGTGGCTGAATGAGCGCTCCTCTGGGGATGGGAGTGAAATTCAACTGAGCTGGGAACTTCAGTCCAGGGTCAAGGCCTGGGACTCAAGGGGGAAGACTCCCAGTCTAGAACCTGTGTGGCCTCCCTCATGGGGAGACGGAACAACGGTGGCACAGGACATTTCAGCACTCCTGAGTCTGCTCCTATTGCCAGGATCTGTGAGGACTCAAAGTCCCCTACACCACCAGGAACCAAGGACCAACATGGGAGATGCTGGGGCCATCTTGGCTGTTTTCCTGGGTAACCTGGTTACCTCTCAGCTCCATGCTCACCCAGTGAGCTAACCAGCCATCCCTAGATGGGATCCGAACCGGTGGCCTTGGTGTTATCAGCACCACACTCTCCCGAGTGAGCCATGGGCCGGCCCCATTCTGGTTATCTCTTAAAGCTACTTTGGAAGAAGCCAGCTCAGCATGATGCTGGAGATTCACTCAGGAGCCAGCTGGGACTGACCTAAGCCTTTCAGATAATCCTGACTAAGGGGAAAGCTTAGCCCACCCTCTCTGGTCCCTGCTTTCTTACCTGGATGAGGGCCATGTTCCCAGTGATCATCCGCCAGAGTTCCTTGGGTGTGTCCATGTGCCCGATGTTGGCCTGGGAGAGGGAGGTCACGGGGCTGGAGCTCCAGGCTGAAAAAGGCCTGCAGCTCCATCCCATAAGCCCTGCCTGGGTCAGGAGGTAGTGTATGTAGCTTAAGATTATGGGACCAGGACATGAAAGTCCCAGAAAAATGAAGTAGAATTGGGGGACTGGGGTGAGAGGGAAGGAGCTAAAGAGCCTGATGGGTGGGGGTGGGGGCTCCCAAAGCAGCCTCCTTTTCTCTCTTTTTCTCAGGATGTTGCTGAACAGATGCAGATTCCACCCTTTTCCCTGCTTATCTGGGCAGCCCGTTCCCGCAGCGGTCAGAATGACCCTATCGCTGGCTTTTAAGCAGGCTTCCTTTCCTAGGGAAGGAGAGGGCAGCTGTGGGCGCAGGACTGAGGCTGCAAGAGTGTTTGGGAAGGAGTGGGTAGCATGGGCCAGGAGTAAGGTAAGGCAAGTTAGGGCGGGTTAGGCTGGCTGCCACTTCTCTGCACCACCTTCTCTAGACTCTTGCCCATGCAGGGACATCCCTGGCCTCCTGAATTTTATCTCTTCCCACCTCCCACCCTATGGCCCTGTATCTGGTTCAGTCCCTGAACCGTCATGGCTGATCTAAGGAGTTGTGGGAGGTGGGAGTGATGAGTAGCCCCTTCCTGTCTATTCCCTTAAAGAACAGCAAGCTGCTGTGGGCCAAGAGGATGGAATGGGAGGGGACTGGGAGAGCCTGGCTCTGCTCCTACCCAGCTGCAGAGTAGGGCTGGAGATCAGAGGAGGCCCCCATCTGCGCGAGTGGAGGGACCAGCATGATGCCTGCCTGTTGAAGCTGCACAAACAGTCACGAGGCAGGTTGTGAAGCAGGGGGTGGGGCATGAGTCCAGGGATGGCGGGGACATCCAGAGACGGAGCCAGGGAACCACTTTGGGCAGGGAGCTCCTGCCCAGGAGCAGGACGCCCAGCCTGGGATCTTCCTACACCTGCCCAGCCAGACCCTCCCTTCCCACCCCAGCCACCAGGCCTGGACAGTCGAGAAAGGCCTGCAGCAATCTCCCAGTCTCTGGCTCTGCACTGCCCAGAGTTCTCTCTGTGCACCCCTGCTTGAGCCAGGACACTCACTGCGGTGGAGAGCCTCGATGCCAGGGTCATTTCCAGGTTCCCTTTGAGCCCCAGCAGTGCAGGCACCAGGATGAAGACCTCCGTCACTTTCTGGAAGACTTCCCAGTGCTACAAGGTGAAAACAGAACCCAGGAATTTCAGTGCCCCAAAGAGCTGGCATGGAGGTTGAACAGATAGTCTAGGATCAGGGGCTTGAGGAGGAAACGGAATCAGCAGGGAGTGAACACGCTAACCGCCTTTCCTCCAAGAACCCTGGAACCAAACCAAGCCCACAGTTCTCTAAACAGCACAGCCCCCCAGAACAGGGAAGACAGAGAGGGTCTCTGCCAATCAGGAGACCCCTAGCCTGGCTCTACTCCCTCTGCCTGCTTTCCTGGAGCTGGGGGGGGGGAGGGAGGACTCGCACGGCAGAGCCACCCAAGACTGGCTTGCACCCCAGAACTCCTTGGCCATCCCCCCTCAAATCGCAATCCCCAACCCCTCTGCACTTAGTCCAGTTTCTCTGTGGTCTCAGCCTTGGGTGGTGTTGTCTCAGCTGTGTAGGGCTGGGCTCCATGGGGCGGGGGGGGGGGGGGGGGGGAGGGAGGACTCGCACGGCAGAGCCACCCAAGACTGGCTTGCACCCCAGAACTCCTTGGCCATCCCCCCTCAAATCGCAATCCCCAACCCCTCTGCACTTAGTCCAGTTTCTCTGTGGTCTCAGCCTTGGGTGGTGTTGTCTCAGCTGTGTAGGGCTGGGCTCCATGGGGCTGGGGCTAAGGAGATTAGAGAGTTTGTTTAGTTTCTATCTCCAAGGGCTTTGGGCCTCAGCCACAGCAACTCTCCTTCTGAACAGAATTTGAATTAAGACGGTGGCCCTCAAACCTCTGGATGCAAGAGTCTTTTTATTCCTCCTCTGGACTCTCCCATCCCACATGCCTTCCCCAGTCTCTCAGCTAGGAGAAGCAAGTGCACCTCTGTGGGAAGAGCCCTGGACTGGGAGTCAGGAGACAGGGATTCTAGTCCCAGGACAATCAGTCATGGCTCTCCACCTATTTCTTTGGGTTACAGGCTAAGTGTTCTATACGTATTTTCTCATTTAACCATCTCAACAACCCAATGAAGTAGGGGCTATTTTTATCCCCAATTTGTAAATGAGAAAACTGAGGTCAGAGAGTATTACACTAGTAAGGGCTAAGAGGGAAAAATGTAGGAACCAAGACTGGCTATTTGAAAGCTTCTTTAGTTATAACTGAAACTGAGAACTTGCAAAAGAAAGGCTGGGGTTGCGTTTCCCTCCCTGGTCCTGACAGGCAATGTGGTTTCCTTTATTTGTTTTTCCTTTTATTTGTTCCTTTATTTGTTTTAAGAATGGAAAGCCTCCAGGTTTGGAGAGGGAGGAGGGGGTAGGCGGCCAGGTGGACGTAAGTTGGTTGGTCTGGGTATAATGGTTGGGTGGGAAAGTGCTGTAATGGGCAAGGGCACTGGACTGTGGAAGTCTGGGCCTCCTACAAGAGACAGTGGGGGCAGGGAGGAGGGACTCATGCTATCTCCCCAGCACGCCTTCTCACATAGCCTAGCTGGGGACCTTAGACAAGTTACAAGGGCCTCATGCCCCTGACCAAAATGTGCAATTCAGGGCCACATCGGATGGCCTCTGAAAGTAATTCTAGCACTGACACTCTATTTTAAAGATGAGCAGGGCTGCAAATCAAAACCACAGTGACATGTTGCCTCACACTCATTAGAATAGCTACTATTTAAAAAGTCCAGAAAATGACAAGTGTTGGCAAGGATGTGGAGACTGGAACACTTGTGCACTGCTTATGGGACTGTAGAATGGTGTAGCTGCTACTAAAACAATATGGCAGTTCCTCAAAATAATAGAAAATAGAACTACATATGATCCATCAATCCCACTTCTGGGTATTTATCCAAAAGAATTGAAATCAAGGTCTTGTAGACATATTTACACACCCATGTTCACAGCAGCACTATTCACAATGGCCAAGAGATGGAAGCAACCCAAGTGTCCATCTACAGATGTATGGATAAACACGCAATGTATTTACTCAGAGTATTTACTCAAAGTATTACTCAGCCTTAAAAAGGAAGGAAATCCTGTCACATGCTACAACATGGATGAAATCTGAGGACATTATATTAACTAATCCAATCACAAAAAGACAAAGACTGTATGATTTCATTTATATGACGTATGTAAGTAGTCAAATTCATAGAAATAGAAAATAGAATGGTGGTTACCAGTGGCTGGGCTCAGGGGAGAGGAGTTAGTATTTAATGGGTAGTTTCATATACGGAAGATGAAAAAGTTCTGGAGATCTGCTACACAACAGTGTGAATATACTTAACACTACTAAATGGTACATTTAAAAATAGTTAAGATCATAAATTTTTTTTTTTCTCCTTTTTGTCTTTTTTCGTGTCCAGCAACGGATCGCAACCCTCAGTGTCGCGCCCGTACCGGACCAGGACCGGCAACGGGATCGCAACCCTCGGTGTTGCGCCCGCACCTCGCTCAGCCAGTGAGCGGGAACCGGTCTATATGTGGGATCCGACCCCTTGGCGGGAGCGCCGCTGCGCTCCCAAGCGGCGCACTGTAGCAGTGCGCCACCTGGCCGGCCCTTAAGATCATAAATTTTATGGTATGTGTTTTTTACAATAATAATAAAAAAATATAATAAAATGAGCAAGGCTATTGGGGGGGCTGGGGCTAGGGCTAAAGACTAGAGGAGATTGGATATTGGGTGGTCCTTTAAAGCAAAGACTTCTTTTTTTTGTCACAGTTCTCTTTGTGTGTATGGGTGGGCATGGGGGTAGCCCCTAATAGGACCCTGAGGATGGCTCATTTCATTAAGGCAAGAGCAGACACTTGTCTGAGCTCTTGGCATAGCTAGGACCTAGGACTCTCCTTAGGGTTTCCTAAAGGACCTAGGACTCTTTGTAGGGGAGCCCCTCCCTGAGGACTAAGAGGGGGAGGAGGCATTCCCCCCTACCCACCCTTCCTCAACAAGTTACTAAGCTTTCAGGAAGCCACAGAAAGAGCCAGCCCCTTCCAAACACTGGAGGGATGTGAATCCCTTCTCACTCCCCGGGCCCCCAGAGAGAAGGCAGCCCCAGTGATCTCCACCTGCCCTGGAGGAACTCAGGGACTGTTACTCTTGGACATGGCTGGTGCACACCACTGGGGTTCCAGCTCCCTGCAGCCCCGGCCTGGCTCTGCTTTGCCTCCTCCTTCCTCCCAAACTGGACAAGCAGCTCCAGAGAGGGGGAGAATTTCCCTCCTCTCCCTTCCTCTGATGAGGGTGGCTGACTGTAGGCTTTCAAAGCTCCTCTCCAAGCTCAGCCTCATATACCGTCCTCACCCCCAAAACATCTGCCCCACCCCGCTTCCAAGCTGCCAGCTCTGTGAAAAGCTTAGTTGTCCAGGTAGGTGTATGTAATGTGTATGCACTGGCAGAGCCAAAAAGCCTGTGAGGAAATATTCCAAGTGTACACAAGTAATATTTTCTGAATTGTTTGTAAGGAACATTGCTTGTCATTATTATTATTTAAGTAAAAAAAAAAAGTATAAAGCTCAGCTAAGTCACTTTAAGTACCCCCAAATCTTTCCACCTCCCAGCACACATGCTCCTTCTCCTTTTAATTACAGGAGGACCTAGAAGGTAAGGGGTTTTAGGAGCGATGGGATGAGAGACAGACAGGCAAGGAGAACAAGGAGTTGCCATAACAGCCCCTAAGGAAATGCCTTCCCAGCCCCCGCAGAATGCAGCCTGGAACCTCACACTACCTGACCCCAGCCCAGCAAAGCCCTGAGTTGGCACTTGGGTCAGAGCAGCCAATTCCTACCCACATTCTTTCTTCACCCACAAGACCCTCTCAAAGATGCAGCTTGGGCAGGGGAGCTTCTGACACATGGCAGGCACAGGACTCTGGGCAGAGGCTGGGAGGCTGGTGGTGTGGAGCCAGCCCAGGAAGCAGGGTGGCCCTGAGGTTAGCAGTAGGTGGGATGTGGCGGGACAGACAGTGAGTAGCTCTTCTTCCCCCTTTGGCCTCATTCAGACCCATCCTGTTCATCCTGGCTGGGAGTGTCTGTGTCCGAAGTCAAACCTGCCAGCCAAACTGCCACCCACGCCTTCCTGCTCTGCTGGGGATGGAAAAGGGCACAGTCCAGGAAGTGATGCCCTGCTTGGGGGTGGGGGAAGCATCTACAGATTTTCACTGCTTCTCAGAAATGCAGTCCCTCTTCCCCTTCTTTCTCCATGCTTGGGCAAGGGGCTCACTGGTCGCTGATATTCTGCAGGTGAGGGATAAGACCACTTCCTCCATACTCAAAACTAATCCTGATTCAGAGCAATTGCCCTAAGTCTCGAACTCAGAGGCCCTGCCAGTACCTCTTTCTTGTCCTTCCAACCTGCCACTTCCATCCCTCACCTCTGTCGGCCTCATACACTGACCTCCATCTGCCTTCAAGTGTTCTGACCTGAGTCATTTCTGCACCAGGAGGTAGCAGCAAGTAAGGAAGTCAGAGCCAGGAAGAGATAAAATTAAGACATTAGGAAGACTTAAATTCCCAGATCCAAGCTCTGGGCACCGGGCTGTGGAAGAACTGGGAAGTTGGGCTGCAGTTGACCTTTCAGCGTGAGCACTGGGTCAGAGCAGATTACCATTACCCCAGCTTCACCTGTCTGAGCATCCTCCAGGTGTCCAAGGAGAAGAGCCTCAGGACAACACCTGGATATACCGGGCTGTACAAAGTGTGAGAAAAGCAAACAAGTTCCTGACAGCAAGTAAGGGGCAGAGATGGGAAAAGGAGAAGAGGTTAGGGGAGACCCAATCTGAGCCTCCTGTCCAGGAGCGCCAGTGGATACAGGCGCACGCCAGCTACGAGAGAAGTGCTTCCTTCCCTCTCCACTTCCCCAAGGCCAGGCTTGCCAGCCACTTTCATCTTTGTAGACTTTTCTGTACACACACACAGAGCAGGGCAGAGAAGCCAGAGAAGGATGTGTTTGGGTTGGAGGGTCTACTTTCCTCAAGACCCTTAGCAAAGTAGCAGTGGATTGCGATAAGTACCTGGGAGTCCCACCTGTCTTAAGCTAGCTGGGAATTCCACTGATGTCGGCACACCACCTCCTGCCACCCCCATCTGTAATCACAAAGGCCAAAAGAAAAAGGGTGAGATGCCCCACAGCAGCCTAGGACCAAACTGGGGGGAAGGGCACAAAGCATCTGCATTGTGGAGGCTCGCATATCCCCACCCTCTTCAGAAGCCAACATTGTGCCCAAGCATGCTTCCTCCCAAATGCCTCAGTAACTTTCGGCCATGATGGGAAAGTGGAGCAGATCGCAGCCCATTTACTCTTTTCCTGTTTTTTGCTAGTACACCAGCCCCCTGACCTCACTTCAGAGGCTGCCGTGCACATGCAGTAAAGAGGAGGGCAGATGAGACAGAAATAGCCTTCCTGGAAGAGACAGGGTCTTCTATAGCAGTGGGGTCCCTAGACCAAGGAGACATGTGAACTCAGGCCAACAGAGACTTCTGCTCAGTTGCTCTGAGACACTTGGGACACTCTATGGCCAACTCCTCCAGATGGCCCCAGTGTCTTGGTACTGTCAGACTCTGTCTCACTGAAAGCCATCTTAGCTTGTGAAGGGGGAATACAGGTGTGACTCCTTAGAAATCACCCTTTTCTTCCTGAATCTGAGATTGTCAATCACCCCTTTCACTTATCTGGATGTGGAATAAGAATCTCCCTGTGATCCCATGTCCTGGTCCTCCTGCACTCAATCCTTCCCATGATTTCACCACAGCCATCTGCAGGGTCTGCTCCAGCCCAGCTGTGGCAGGGAGGCTAGTGGAGGAGGACAAGGACAAACAAGCCATTGTAATTCACACCAGCTGGACCCTAGCTCTGGGGTGAGCTTAGGTGCCACATGGAGGGCAAATGCTGGCCCTCTGTAGGCTTGTTGGGTAACTCCAGTTTCCCTACCTAGGCCTCTCAGGCTCATGGATGTGGGATGGGGTGGGGCAAGACATCAGAGGGCTTTTCCAGCTCTGGAATCATCTGTGTGGGATGGGCAGACAGGGGAGTCTCCCCTCACTCTAAGAACTTTTGTCTTGCTCACCCTGTTCTTCAGGGGAAGACAAAGAACAGGCTCCTCGAGTCTTCAACCAACTGATGAACCATGGCCATGATAAAGTCAACAGAGGTTAGCGGTGTGGGCTCTGGTTTCAGATGACCAGGGACAAGTTACCTAATCCTCTAAGCCACAGTCTTTCAATCTATAAAATGGAGATGATTATGTTTTCTACCTCATAGGCCTACAGAAGAGCCCCCCCAAATACCCCCCACTACCATTATTATTATCCAGAAAATAAGACAACCCTCTCCCAGTTCACCACTGGACCCTGGTTCTGCACACCTTTGTAGGCACCAAATCACAACTCGAAAACTCAAAGAATGAGAACCAAGGCCACAGGAGGAGGATGGAAGAGGTGGAGAAGCTGCTACTCCAGTCTCATTTCTCTTTCTTCTACTCCCCACCATAACAAACACCCTCCACCCTGGGAGGAGAGGCAGCCACTAGGGGCAGGAGTCCAAAACTGCAGGCTGGCTTCCTTATCTCCATGTAGGAACAATCCTCAAGATAACAGGTTTGGGGAAAGGGGGCAGTACAAGGCACTTTGGCATGACATAAACACCATTCTTATTAGCAACCAAAGGTGCAAAGTTCTCCTCAATGGCTCAAGTCAAAGTGGTCCATGGAAGTGGCCACTATGGAAGAAACCACCTGGAACCAACCACCTTCAGTCCTCTGGGATATGGGCATAGTGAGACGTACCAGCAGGACTCTCTACATCACTATATGCATGGTTTGTAGGGTTGACTTGGCACAGGGTAGGTAATGCTGAGCTTCATGTCCTTCTGGGAGATGTCATGGTCCCAGAAACTGGGGGGTCCCAAAGGGCAAAGGCTACATCTCCTCCTGCCTCTGTATTTCTCCAAGTACTTAGGACAGAGCCCAGCACTCAGCAGGAATTTCATACACACTGCTGATTAACTTAGATAAACCCAACACTTTCAGAAAATGCTGTGTACCTTACTGCACTTCAAAATCTTTCACCTGGAATCAAGACTTTAATCTATCGGACCTGGAAGTTCTGGATAAGTCTTAACTCACAATACACTAACATAGCATGTCCTTCCCTGGCTCTTAGCTCCCAGGTCCTGCCAACTCTTATCCTTCATTCTACCCAGTAGTCTCATAAAGAGTCCTCTTTGCCCAGGGCAGGTTCATGAAAGACATGAGGAGCCAGGAGAGACAGTTCTGCCAGGCCTGGTTACATTTTGTCCCCATTTATGGCACATAACTAGCACTTTTAGGTCTTGTTCCACCAACTCCCCAAATTATGCACAAGATAGCATGTGCCCACCCCCATTCCCCAAAGAGATTGTGCCAAGATTACAGGAAGATAAGCAACACAAAATGCCTTTAAGAGCTTTCCCTAAGAGTCTTCCTGCTTAATTTGAAACCCTTCTGGCAGCCTAACAAATTCCTGCTCAGCAGGGGGATGGACAAGAGAGCTTTCCCTAAGAGTCTTCCTGCTTAATTTGAAACCCTTCTGGCAGCCTAACAAATTCCTGCCCAGCAGGGGGAAGGACGAGAGGCTTGAAACTGAGGTTTCTACTATGGGTATCCTTGAAACCCCGAGTGAAGGGAAAAGAAGGCATAAAGAGGAGACTTTTTGGCAAGGAACAACCCTGTTCCATCGCTCCTCTTCCAAGCCTGAGCTCTGGAAGCAATTCTGTGTCTGTTAAGCAATATCGCCCTGATCACCTCCCTGGGGCTACTTGGCTTCCTAGAGGCTTCTGTAGAAAGTAGACCAAGAAGAAACCAAGGACATGATCCAAAGGGAAAGAGTATTCTAGGAAGCAGCAGATGCTCCTTGCAGGGAGGTAGAGAGAAAGTTCCAAGAGTCATAGTTCCCCTGGAGGCAAAGGTGGCCCCAGGCTCATAATCAAGAGCTTCCCTACTCAGGTCCTACCTGTACAATGTCCAGCACCATGCCAGCAGCTACAGTCCCAAAGCCTGCCAGGAGGAAGGGAAACAGCACTTGCAGCCCGATGGAAAAGGAGGTCTCCTTGAGGGGGGAGGGTGGTGCAGGGCCACGGTCTGTGCTGACGTCGTCACTTTCGTTGCTCTGGCTCCCATTTTCCAGCAGGGCGTCCTCCTCCCGAACCCCCTTGGCGTTGGCCCGAGACTCAGTCACCACCACCTCTACCCCAGCCCCATCAGGCCCCAGGAACTCTGAGGTCCCAGCCAAGGGCTCTCGCCCAGGGCCATCTGAAGAGCAGGGAGAGGCGGCAGGGCCCATCCCGTTCAGCTGGTGGACGTCCTTTGGCTCCGGCTTAGAGGACATGATGGGTGGGGAGGAGGGGAAGGGGCAATTTTCCTCTCTTTTTTTGCTTTTTCTCTCCCTCTCTAATTCGGGAAAGAACTTAGTCTTGGGGTGAACCCAGGCTTGGGTGCCGTGGGACCTCCTCCCACGGCTCTCCACTCCTACCGGGCACTGCAAAAACTGATCCACCAACAGGCAGCCCCATCAAGCACTGAAGCCACAAGCTGGAGGCAAACAAGAAACTCCTCACCAGACTCAGTGGCCAGCTACCAGGGGTGCAGATGCCTGATTCCGGCTGACCGACTCTGTGCTGGGAGAAATTTGTCTGGCCTCTTATCTTCTTTGGTTCTCAGCTTTTTTTTTTTTTTTTTAAAAAAGATGACCGGTAAGGGGATCTTAACCCTTGACTTGGTGTTGTCAACACCACGCTCACCCAGTGAGCAAACCGGCCATCCCTATATGGGATCCGAACCCGTGGCCTTGGTGTTATCAGCGCCGCACTCTCCCGAGTGAGCCACAGGCCGGCCCAGGGAGATCCTTTCTTGAATGCCCATTAAGAACGCAAGATAATGAAAAGTGATCTCTCAGTAGGGTCTGTTACAAATTCAGTTGCAAACCCCCTGCCCCAACAGCCACTCCATTGTAGAAAGTGATTATTATCTTGTCACAAGACAGCAACAGCAACACAGCCACACAGGGCAAATAAACAGGGAGAATCCGATCACTGAGTCAAGGCCCCCAGACCCCCAAACATGCCAGCCCCTGAGAAAAAAACTAGGAGGACTTCCTGGGCAGTGGGGCAAGCCTGCCAGACCAAGGCCAAGAGCCAGAGGCCTACCCACTCCTGTCCTTGAGAGTCAACAGTGTGACAAAAAGCTCAGACGCTGACTCGGATCCAGGCCTCTGTCTACTTCTCTCCCCCTGCTCTTGGCCCTGTGAGCTTGTCAGATAGGACAAGGGAGTTATCTGAGCCTGAAGTGACAGAGGGTAAAACTACTCTTACCTGCACATTTCAGTTCCTTAGGCTCTCCCTCTTCCCCAGGGTTACTGAGAATTGGATATAGTGAAATTCTTAAAAACCAAAACCAAAACCAAAAAAACCAAAAGTAGCAATAAAAAAAGTAAAACAAAGCAAAGCAAAACAAAAACCTGAAGCACCATAAGCCAATATGCACTTGCTCATAAACCCATGTCTCCTTAGCTGGAACGGCCCCACTTTTCTCTGTCTAAAGGAATGCCCAGGCCTTGATTCTACCCTATCCCATAGCTCTAACAAGTAAAAGTAAGTTTAAAGAATTCCCCCACGGAGGAAATTAAAGTATTTCACACACACGCACACAATTAGTCAACTCGTTTGGGAAATGCTGAATCAAACTCCAGTAACTCGCCCACGAGAATTGTCTCCTCCTCCTATCAACTTAGTGAACCCAGCAGGACTCCCTTTCCCAATCTCCTTAAACACAGTACTGTGTTTCTTTCAAAGACCCTCACGGGAAATCCAGGGGGAAACCTCTGAGTGCACGACCCCTATGCCAAAAAAGTTTCTGAGTTTGCTAAAACCTGACCCCACCCCACCCCGTCCCCTTCCTGTCTTCCTGGCAGGCCGCTTTACCTGAAACGGGGTTCGCAGAAGGGAAGCCAATCCCTCCCCCATTCCCCTACTCCCCAGTAAAGAGACAGGCCTCAGGCCCTGGGACGAAAGAAGCACAAGTGAACAAGGACGCCCTATCCCCTCCTGCCTGGCGGGGACAAAAAGCCTCGTTTTACTATCCCCAACCCCAAGGAGGGGGAGAAGTAACTGGGTGGCCTCCCCCGTCTCTGAGGACTCAGACAGTAAATACGCTGTGAGCCACGACTCCCGCCCCCCTTTCTTACTCCCCCAGACCCAACAGGACTGACCTGCCCCTCGCTTGGGAGGAAGGGGGGCGCCTGGAGAGTGGCAGCAGGGGCCCGTGGTCTCCGGGGATGCAGGGTACCCCCTCTTCTCATCACTCCTTTTCCTCCGCAGTCCTCCTTGGCCCTCGTCGTACCTCCCCGCACCCCCAGCCAAGGCGAGCGTCCAGCCGCGACCCCCGGCTCGCTACATTTCGCTTCTGCGTTACAGCGAGGCCGCCGCTCCGCTTCCACGAGGGGGAGGTGGCCGGGGAGGGCAGGATATACCGCCTCGGGACGGGCGGGTGCACCCGGACGGGGGACTGGGGGGGCCGAGCTCACTCGCCCCCAGTTGCTTCTTACCGGCGGACTTGGGCCGGGCTGGTTAGCTGCCGATGGCAAACGTGATCTGGGGCAGACTGGGTGGCACCCCCCCTCATCAAAAATAGATCCCGGATGGACAGCCGCAGCAGCCAATCGGAGACTGGGCAGGGGCGGGCCCAGCCTCGGCCCGGCCCCTTTCCTTCGCTAGCGCCCCGGGGGCGGGGCGCCCGGGCAACGCAGTGCGCGGAGTG